GCAAGGGACTAGCCCGGCCCCTGCCCCACCACCTCGCATGTGTGGAGAAGTTTACCTTCCCTTCCCTTAGGCGGCGGGCGCAGCGGCGCAGCGGGCGACACACCAACTGGTGCGCGAGCTGGCGCTGCTGCGGCCGCAGTGGTGCGAGACGCTGCCGCGCGGCGTCGCGCTGTCGAGCGTCTCACGCCTCGCCGAGGCAATCTCAGTGCACTGCACTCTCCCTGCACTCTCCCTGCACTCTCCTTGCACTCTCCCAGCACTCTCCCTGCACTCTCCCTGCACTCCACGCTCCCTGAATCTCCCTGCAATCTCCCTGCACTCTCCCGCCCTGTAACGAGCGCCCACTCCCTCGCAAAGGCGGTCCTGCGGCCGCTGTACGAGAGCCTGGTCGCCCTCCGCCACATCTCCGAGCGAGACAGCCGCGCGCTGCACAAGGTGCTCCTCTCTCCCCATCTCTCCTCATCTCTCCCCACATCTCCCCATCCCTCCCGCACATCTCCCCACATCTCCCGCGCGCTGCACAAGGTGCTCTCCTTCCTGCTGCCCGCCTGCGAGCAGCTCCTCTCCGCCGCGGCGCGATCCCCCCTCGACGGGCGCTGCGAGCACCTCGTCCCGTCGCTGCGCCGCTGCCGCCAGCTCGGCCGGCTACTCGACGCGCGGCTGGCCGAGGTGGTGGCGTGGTGGGGCGAGGGCGAGCTCGACGCGATCTCGGCGCGCGACCTGCTCGTGCTGCTGCGCGCGATCTGGAACGAGGAGGCGCTCCTCGCCAACGCGCGCGAGATGCACCGCGCCCTCGTGGCCGAGGCGGCGCTGTAGATCGACTGTGGACTGCCATCGATGACTGAGAGCCATGCGTGCCGGTTTGGGTGGAGATGCAACCGCGCGATCCATTGACCGATCGACCGAGATACCGCGGCGGCACGTGTGCCCGGAAAACGCGTACAGCTATTGAAATGAATCAGCTGCTGCTTGAATGTTGAAAGAGAATCTTTGAAGCGAATACTGTATACGGCGATCGTTGGTTGGTGTCCCAGTCGTTGCACGTCTTGGTCGGACTGTGTTTCGCCTTCCTATCTAGACTGTGTAGGATCGCGCGCCTTGCGGGGGCCGGCGCGCGGAAAAGAGGTACCCGGGTACCTCTTGGCGCCATCGCCACGGTGCTGCAAGCAAGCAGCGCCGGGCGACGACGACTGACTGACTTACCGCCCGGCGGTCCCCCTCGGCACACCTCCGCTGCTTAATTTGACGGCTCGAACCCGTGAAGCTTCCCCGTGCGCGGGTTACCCCGCACACGGGTCAGCCTGCCAGCCACGTATCCACGCAAGCGTGGTCCGCGCGCATGGCATACAGGCAGGCGTTCGCCAGACAGCGCAGAGGCTAGGCGACCGGGGAAGGACTAGCTCGACTGATTGAGACATCCCCCATCCGACAAAAAGTAAACTCAAAGTAAAAATGAATTGCGCGGCCGCGTAACTTTTGGGCCGTCGATAAAAAGCGACAATAATAAATGCGTGGATATCGTCCAAATGCAAAGCCCGCTTTTGCCCTCGCTCGCGCTACGTAATGAATTTTACAACTACGTGATGAAATATGGCTGAGCCGTGCCTGAACAGCTTCGGGAGCCGCGCGTTCCAGGACCCGCACCTCAATTTTGCGCACGGCGGCCAGGCCGACTTTCGCGGCCGCCACAACGTGCTTTACAACTTCCTCTCTGCGCCCGGACTCTCGGTCAACGTCAAAATTCAGGAGGCGGTCTTCACAATCCACGACGGGGCGCTCACAGTCAATGGCTCCTTCCTAGTAGAGGCGCACGTCGTCGCGCGCTTTGCCAATCAGAGGAGCGCGAAAGCCTCGTTCTGGGGGTCCGAGCTCAGCGAGACCAACTTTGGCTGGCAGGTCATCAATGGAACTTGCGTCGGCCGCCCGTTCCGGTTCGGCAGACGCGGCCACAAGACCTGCTACGGCCTCAAGATGGCCATGGCCTACTCGAGCGCCACCTTCGAGTTGGGCAACTGGACAGTGACGGTGCACGGCATGCAAAGCTGCAAAGGCTGCCTTATCGCGGGACCCGAGCACCGCCTGGACCTAGGCTTCTCCGCGCGCGGAGACGCGCCATCTCGCAACAGGCCTCACGGCATCGTCGGTCAGTCTTACGCCGCCCCTTTCCACGCGCGGCACGGAAAGAAGGACCTCTACCCGTGGTCGGGCCACTATACGACCAGCGCCCAGGCGGAGGGCGCCATCGAGGGCACGGCCTCGGACTACGAAGTGCAGACTGCTCATGCAACGCGTTTTGCCTTTTCGCGCTTCGACGCTGCGAAGGGCGAGCCCGCATCTAAAGACAAGACCGAATCCGGCCTCATCGACGCGTCCTCCACAGACCGGATCTCAGTGCCACAGCAGGCTCAGCAGCGACGCCAGCTCTCGGAGGCTCTCTGCCCTCCGCCACCGCCGCGGCCATCCCCGACGCCGACACCACCCTCACCCTTGCCCTCGCCGTCACCCTCGCCCTCACCCTCACCCTCGCCCTCACCCTCACCCTCACCCTCGCCCTCGCCCTCGCCCTCGCCCTCGCCTTCTCCCTCACCCTCACCGCCCGACGCCGACACCGACAGCGACGGCATCCCCGACCCCGTCGACCCCGACTCGGACGGAGACGGCATCCCCGACGCCGAAGAGGGCACGGCCGACACAGACAGCGACGGCACGCCCGACGATCTCGACCCGATGACTGGGGCTCAGCTATGCCAGGCCGGGAGCGGCCAGAACTGGCACCAGGGATGGATAGTCGGAGCCCCCACCGCCGTCGTTCTGGCCACTGGAGGTCGTTACTGCCCCACTTGGACGAGGGAGGAGTGCGTTCAGCAGTGCGTCGACCAATGCGAGCCGTCGCACACAATCACCTCGAGCACCGGCTCGAAGCTTTGCGCCCGCACAAACGGCGTGGGGGGGCACTGGGGGACAGGGACTCTGATACCGACATACCTGGCGACAGGTCAGAGCATCACTCTCAATGGCGTCTCGTACGGAACCGACAACAACGGCTGCGCCTCCCATTGCGAATGCGTGTACAGCGGCTGCGGTGTGACCTACTTTGGCGCATACAACCGCGACAGCTCTCTCGCGCCAAGTGACTCCCTTGGCCTCAAGCCCCCGCAGTGGACCTGGGACCCGCTGAATCCCTACACACCCAACGCGCTCGACGGCAACATCTACAGCTGCCCATTCGTTGACCAAGAGCCGACATACGCCGCCGCAGACCCTGCTCAGGACTGCTGCGTCGGGGGCTGGAGGCCGGGGGAGGCCCTCGGTTCCGGATGGCAACAAAATGTGGACAACGAGTTCAGCAGCCTTGGTCTTGCAAAAACGAGGACGAATTGCGCCTACATCGTGAGGACCGTCCTACCAGAGGCAAACGGCGTTGACTGGGGGGTGAGGCCGTTCCCGAACGGGAAGCAGTGCTGGGCGGTCTTCAACCACACAAACACTTATGGCACGGATGCTGGAATGGGTGGCTATACGAGGGAGACCTGCGTGTTCGGCTTCTACTGCGGGCTCTCGGCGTTGCAGCAGGACAAGGGCACTTGCGTCATATCGCCGGAATCTTGAGCGTCCGCGAGATCACCGGGAGCCAATACACACGCCGCAGGAGGCGCACGTGCGTGGCAGGAGAGGGCACTCACGAGGGGAGGGGTGATGTGCATGCGTGTATGGGGTCGCGAGAGATTTTCGTTAGGGGGGGCGCGGGCGAGCGCCGCCAGCCAGCGCGGACGAGCGCTGCCAGCGCGGGGCCCGCCAAGGCAGGTGTGTCTGCTAGTACTGGTGTGCTCACACCACTACACTGTGAAGCTCTCCTTCCTCCGCCGCCTGCCGGTCCCTTGTCTCGCGGCTTCTTTCGCCTTTCGGCGCAACTCCGTCCTCCTCGCGGCGTATCCTGGCCCCTCGAGTCTATCGAGCTCCCCTCGCGCAAGGACCACATTTCTGACTCCCACTCCTCGAGAACCTCGAGAACAGGCAGCCGCTGGGTGATTTTTTTCGGGGAGTTTTTTTCGCTCACTTTTCCGATGGGCTCCGGACCGAGCGCAGAGAGCCGCGCGAGCGACGGCGACGAGCCGCCCCTCGAGGGTGTGGTTGACCAGGAGTACGGCTTTCGCGTGCACCGCGTTGAGGCAAACTCTCCAGGTGACCTCGCAGGCCTCCAGTCCATCCTCGACTACGTCGTCGTCGCGAACGGCAAAGCCCGGCCCGGCCGCACCGCAGATCCGCTGCGCGCCGACAGTCGCAGCCTGCCCCCCCCCCCCCCCCCGCCCGCTGCCCGCCGCCATCGCCCTCGGCTGACCGGCGCTCCCTGCCCGCCACGCGCGCGCCGCAGGGATCCGGCTCGATTCGGACGACGGCGTCTTTGTCAAGATGATCGGCGACTCGGTCGGAGGCGAGATCCCGTGCACCGTCTTCAACACGCAGACGCTGCGCACGCGCGAGACGGTGATCCGCCCCACCGCCAACTGGGGCGGCGCCGGGCTGCTCGGGGTGTGTGCGACCCGCCACAGCCAGCCTCGCCGTCATTGACTCTGTTTGTTCTCCGCGCAGACTTCCCTCGTCTCTTTCCGTAGGTCACGATTCGGTTCGACGTGGCGCGGCCGCTCGAGAAGCACACGCTGCACGTGCTCGACGTGTACCCCTCCTCCCCCGCCTCCGCCGCCGGCCTCGACGCCTTCAATGACTACATCCTCGGAGTGGGCGACTTGCTGTATGACGGGCCCGACGAGTTTGGCGAGATTGTCGCGTACAATTGCGGCAGGCCGGTGCGCCTGTACGTGTACAGCAGCAGGACCGAGGCGGTGCGCGAGGTGACCATCACTCCCTCCAAAGACTGGGGAGGCGAGGGCTGCCTCGGGTGCGGCGTGGGCTGCGGGTACCTCCACTCTCTCCCTCGCCGCCGCACGAAACTTGCCGCTGCAGCGACGCGCACTTCCGCCGCCGCCGCCGCCGCCGCGCCGGCGACTGGTGCTCCGGCGGCGGCCGAGGCGGCAGCGGCGGCAGCGGCGCAGCGGCCGTCGGCGGATGTGGCGGCGGCGGTGGCGGCAGAGGCGGAGGCGGCGGTGGAGGCGGCGGCGGAGGCGGCGGCGGCGGAGGCGGAGGCGGAGGCAGAGGAGGAGGCGGGCTCGGAGGTGGCAGCGGGCGGCGAGGGGGCGGAGGGCGGGGCGGCGGCGCTGGGTGTGGTGGCTAGCCCTGAGAATGGGGCGGCGGCGGCGGCGGCGTTTTGAGAGGAGGGGCAGAACCGGAGCTGTGCTGAATCGCGGGAGTCATTCCCTCTCATCGAGGGGGGTGTTAATTTGGGCGACGCCGGTGCTGATCCCACTCGGTTAGGGGCGCGCGCCTATTAGCCACCACGTTGTGAAAGAAAAAGAAAGTTACAGGCCGAGGCGCATATTCACGCGAAAAGGAATCGACGCGATTCGCGATGACCGATGTGTGCAACGTCTGGGGGGGCGACCCCCCCATCTTTGTTTACCGATGCGTCCTAGAATGCAAAAACGCATTCTAGGACGCACTTTTCATCTCAAAGATACCATGTGTCTCGGGTACACAGGGCATTCTAGGATGCGATGGCTGTCCTGGAGATAGCCGCGCCGTGTCTTTTGTTACGCGTTCCATCTTAGACGCCACAAGCATCTATAGATGCACAGCTGTTCTGAGATGGCACTTGCATACTAGATCACATTTTACTATACTTGGACAGGGAAGCGTCTCAGGAGACACCGTGTGTCGGGTGCACCGGGCACCGAGGGGGGAGCAGGGAGCCAGGGAGCACGAAAAGGCGGTGTGATCTCTCGGCACCCCCTGGGGGCCCTGCCTTGAGTGCTCGTGTGAGGTCTCTCCTCGCGGCCTGCCCCTCCTGGAGAACCAGGTTCTCAGCACCGCGCATGCATCTGCTCGCGCCACGAGCTCTGGGCGCAAAGACCAAAGTTGCATGCACTGCTTACGACGATCCGACGGCGACGCCGCCTCCCCCCCCCACCAACCAGTTTGCGCGGCAGGTAGCGGGGCCAGTTCGAGGCTGAGGGCGTGGGCGTGCGCCTAGACACGGAAGACAGCGTACTTCCGAGAGTCGGCCAGGCGCGGTTTTTCTTGTTTGACTTGGCGATTTGAGGGACCGGGCATCCCGACTCGCTCCTGCTCCTCGCTCCTCGCTCGGTGAGCTGTCGCCCACCAGCGCGCGGCGACCGCGCGCACACCGTGCCCGCCGGCTCGCCGCCCTCCTCACCACCCGTCGGCGCTGTCCGCAGGCATGTGAGTCAGAACGGCGACCGCGCAGCGCGCACGGGTGTCTTGCTCGCCACCACCCTCTCGCCCCCGCTCCGTGACCGCCGCCGCCCGCGCCACCGCCGCCGCCAACACCGCCTCGCGCCTCGCGCCTCGCTCTCGCCGCCCCCGCCGCCCGCCCTCGACCTCGCGACGGCGTCCTTCTGGGGATCTGCGGGTGGCTTGCCCGCCTCGCCGCCGCCCCCACAGCGTGACCGCTTCCGCCGCCCCCACAGCGTGACCGCTTCCGCTCGATCGGTGAGCCGTCGCCCACCACGCGCGCTCTCACGGCGACCGCGGGCCGCTCATCGCCTCCGCCACGTCGCAGGTGTTTGATCTGGGCAGGAAGCGGCGCTGGTGACGGCAACCGGCAGCCACGTGCACGGAGTGCTAAGCGAGGTGCCTGTGTCCAAGTCTGAGTAGCCCGTGGCCGTGAGTGGCGTCAGGGGCAGTGTTCTGTGACTGTGTCCTGTGCGTGCTGTTCAGTGTGAGTCGGTGCAGCGGTGGGCCTGCTGCCGCTGCCACACGTGAGAGCCGCTGTCCGTGCCCCAGCACGTTGCGCGGAGAGGCTATAGGGCGCCCACCCACGAGTGCTCGGGTGGGCGCGCCGCGGCTGTGCGAGTAGTAGCGCAGCAGCCGCGGCGCACAGCCGGGGGCACGGCCCGCCGCGCAGCGCTCGCCACACCGATTTTCGTTTTCTTTTTTGTTTTTATACGTGCGTGTATTTCTTGAGATCCACACGCTGTTCAAAATATGCGCGCGTCTTCTGAGACACGCGCTGTTCACAGTATGCACGGCGCGTCTTTTGAGACAGCAACGCCAATCGGAGATGCCGCGAGCAATTCGGGATGCGCGGAGCAACTAATATAGACTCGCGCATCTTAGGATGCTCGAGCATACCGAGGACAGCGAGCGTCTAAGTAGGAGGCCTACTAGACGCACTCTAATCCAGAGACGCATTCGGTAAACAAAGATGGGGGGGTCGCCCCCCCAGACGCAAAGCATCATAGTCTGAGGGTTAGGTTTCTGGAGCCTCGGGTGCTTTTACGCTTTTGATCGGGTCAGGGGAGAGTGCGACTTTTACCACTTTGGTCGTCTCGGAGCGCCCAACTTTTAGCATTTTTCAAGTTTTTCTTCGGCGCTGCGCGCCGGGTGCAGTAAGTACTAGCTATCCGTCCCGCAAACGCCGCAAACGGCAGAAGTAGTTCCTGCACACTATGCCTAGAAAAATGCCGCTCGCCTCGAAAGCGCCCGCCGGTGTGTGTCCAAACACATGCACATGTGCATGCACATGTCCATGTCCATGTCCATGTCCATGTCCATGTCCATGTGCCATGTGCATGCACATGTAGCGCTACAAGTTTGTCACACATTGATAAGGGCGCTGCTGAGCACGAGGCTGAGGCGCTGAGCCGCTGAGCCCGGGGCTCTTTGCGGCGGCGGCGATGCGAAAGGTAAAAGGATCTGGTGGCGATGAAGGTGGTGGAGCTCAAGGAGGAGCTGGGCGAGCGTGGCGAGGCCCTCTCGGGCAACAAGGCGTGGCTGCGCCGCCGGCTGCACGCCGCTATGCGTCGAGCTTTGCCTCGATGCACTTGATGCTCCCAATCTCCTTCTCCCAGATCTGAATCTGCTTGACCATGTAGGGCTTGACACTGCAGAGGCAGGCAGGCGCGTACAACGGCATGCGCAAGAACTTGCTCCGTGGGAGCGGGCTCTATCCCTCTACTTTGGGGCGGCGCCTGAAGATAGCCATCTTCGCCCCAGGGGGTGGCCATGATTTCGAGGCGGATTTGATGCCGCTGAGATCGACCTCACCGATGGCCATGTTGCTCGCAAGTTGCGCCGCTCTCGGGAGCTTGCGTCGCGACTATCGGCGATCTGCTTTGTCCGGCGGCACGGGGATGAAGCCACTCTGAAGGCACCCCGCCGCGGCTTCCCATCATCCGTGCCGGATTTTTCAGTGTATTCTGCTGTGTTTCGCCTTCCTATCTATCTACTCTGCTGACAGGGTTTGCGATGAGGAGCGACCCGAAGGGTTTCTCGGAGCTTAGTGCACCACTAACCGCCGAAGCGCAAGAACTCTACGACGGATCGGGCTCATACTAGCACCCCACCTCGCGAGCCGACGTTCTGGCTCAGCGAGGTTGCTGCGGAGCACTCGCGGACCGGTTCTTCTGGCCCGGCGAGGCCGCTGCGGGGCACCCGGCGGCTCGGGTCACTTCTCAGCGCAAACTCAGTCGAGCACGAGGTAAGGTGTGTGTGTAAAGGCGGCGCGGCACGGTAAGGGTCGGTGGTAAGGCGGCGCGGCGGCAACAGATGGCAGGCATGGCTGTCTTCACACCGTGCCGATCGTTGACCGCTTTGCCGGTCAGCCCTGTGATGGAGGACACTGTGAGGCAGGATCCGTCTGTCAGTTCGCATTGATGCAAAACGAAAGGCCCCCCCGAGCATGGCTGGCTGGAGTTCGAGGCATGCGCGGCCTTTTTCTCATTTTAGCCTTGTTGTCGTCGGCCGACGGTCGCGTTCGTCGCGGTGCCCGTGGGGTGCCCCATGCGCCGCTTCACCCGCAGCTGGCTCGGCGCATCGAGGGCAGCATCGTCGACCACCGCGCGCGCTTTCCGGCCGCCAGCCGGCAGCTTGCCGTGGGCTGCGGGTGCTCTCGCCGTTGGCTTTTGGGCTGGCTCCACCGACAACGAGCAAAGGAACAGGAGGCTACCTTCCGGCTTCAACGCGTGCGCGTGCTGCGACGCGCGGCCGCTGACAGACGCGCAGCAGGCGCTCAGACCAAAGCTGGAGGGCATCGTCGGCTCGGGAAACGTGTCTCATGACGTCGAGCAAAACGGTGCGCCAGAACGAGAGAGCAGAGTTCGGATCGCGTAGCTCTCGCGCAATCCCTTCCCAAAAAACAGACGCCAGTTCTGTCGCAGGCGCACGGATCGGGCTGGGCAAGGCGTTTTGCGTGGTCAAGCCGGGGACGATCGAGGAGGCGCTCGAGGTGCTGCAGGCCTGCGTCTTAATTCATCATCAGCTACTTCTTAAAAACTGAGTACCGCCCTCGTCCGCGAGGTGCCTAAGAATGAGTCATGAATGAGTAATGCAGGCCTGTGTCGACGCGGACGTCTGCGTCCTCCCGCAGGGCGCAAACACTGGCCTCACCGGCGGGTCAGCGTCTCTAGAAGCGGAACGCGTCTTCTTGTCTCCCTGCTAGCGCTCGAGAGGGCATGTACTCGACTGCACTCGGCCGTAGTCCGCTGAGTTCATTGTATTCGCAGCCCCGCGTGCTCTCGCGGTGCTCTGAGTACACATCGCACAACACCGACTGCACACCCTCATGCTGGCGGATGCACACCACCGTAGGTCAGTGCCTCGCGGAGCGGGCTCCACCCTTGACAGGCGAGATCGGCCGAGATCAGCCCAGATCACCCGAGATCACTCGAGATCACCCGAGATCGGCCCAGATCACCCGAGATCACTCGAGATCACCCGAGATCGGCCCAGATCTCCCGAGATCATTCGAGAGCAGCCGAGATGGCCCGAGAGCATCCGAGAGCATCCGAGATGACCCGAGATGACCCGAGATGACCCGAGATGACCCGAGATGACCCGAGATGACCCGAGACGACCCGAGGTGACCCGAGATGACCCGGACAGGCCCACTGTCGTGCTAAACATGCGCCGGCTCAACTCGATCATCCCAATCGACGGCGGGGAGCGTGTCGTGTGCCTCGCTGGCGCAGGCATCTACGACGTGCTTACCAAGGTACTGCACAGTACACCACACACACACACACACACACACACACACACACACACACACACACACACACACACACACACACACACACACACACACACACACCAGGGGTCTCTAGCGGGCATCTACGACGTGCTCACCAAGGCCGCCTCGCACACACCGCTCGCCCATGCGCACCGGGCCCTTGCACTTTGAATGCCGTGCGGCTCCTGTCGTCTAGACGTGGAGTCGCGAGGGCTTAGCCCGGCCCTTGCCCCTCCACCGCGTGTGTTTGGCGAAGTCTATCACCCCTTACCTCGCCTTACGCCGCCTCGCTCGGACTAATCGTTATGTTAGTATTGTTGTTGATGTTGTTGTTATTGTGATCATTATTCACCGTAGGCCGCCTCGCTCGGCCGAGAGTCGCATTCGGTGCTCGGCTCCATCTTCCTCAACCCGCCTGTTAATTAACAAACCAATTATTAAGTAACTAATGACAGGTGCTCGGCTCCATCTTCCTCAACCCGAGCACCGGCGCGGGCATCGCGTTTGGCGCGGGAGCATCAGACGCGGAAGATCTCCCCATATCTCCCCGTATCTCCCCGTATCTCCCCGTACCTCGCCCCGGCCGCGTGGCCCTCCACCCTAGAAGCGGAAGATCTCCCCGTATCTCCCATATCTCCCCGTATCTCGAGGCCTAGAAGCGGAAGACGCAGTCTTGTGTTCAGCTAGTGCTCGAGAGGACACTTCGGCCGTACTCGGCCGCATTCAGCTGCATGCGCCTCCCTCGTACTCCTGCGGTGCTCTGAGTACACTGCACAAGGCCGTACTCCCGCCCTCATGTTTGCGTATGCACCGCAACACGCCTCACTCTCCCCCTTTCCCTCACGCAGGCTCGGGAGGGACCCAGACCAAGAAGGGGCCTGTGCCCATGGAGCGGCTCCTGTCCGCGTCGGTGTGTTTCTTTTCACCTGTGTTTCTCTTCTCTAGGCCTGTGTACATGGAGCGGCTCCTGTCCGCGTCGGTGTGTTTCTTCTTACCTGTGTTTCTCTTCTCTAGGCCTGTGTACACGGAGCGGCTCCTGTCCGCGTCGGTGTGTTTCTTTTCACCTGTGTTTCTCTTCTCTAGGCCTGTGTACACGGAGCGGCTGCTGTACGCGTCGGTGGACAAGAGTAGAAGACCCGCCTCAGCCTCTCTCACAGCACACCGGCACGGCGAGGGGTGGACTGGCGCACACTAGCACACTAGCACACTAGCACACTAGCACACTAGCACACTAGCACACTAGCACACTAGCACACTAGCACACTAGCACACTAGCCCACTAGCCCACTAGCCCACTAGCCCACTAGCCCACTAGCCCACTAGCCCACTAGCCCACTAGCCCACTAGCCCACTAGCCCACTAGCCCACTAGCCCACTAGCACACTAGCACACTAGCACACTAGCACACTAGCACACTAGCACACTAGCACACTAGCACACTAGCACACTAGCACACTAGCACACTAGCACACTAGCACACTAGCACACTAGCACACTAGCACACTAGCACACTAGCACACTAGCACACTAGCACACTAGCACACTAGCACACTAGCACACTAGCACACTAGCACACTAGCACACTAGCACACTAGCACACTAGCACACTAGCACACTAGCACACTAGCACACCGCGCCGGAGCCGCTTTAGCGACTCCGCTGAGAAGAACGGCGACGCACTCTGCCCGAGCACATCCCCTGTCCAGCGTCCACCCATACCGCGCTGGGTGTCCAGTCCGAGCCTCTGGCTGTCACCCCCCGAGCCTCTGGCTGTTCTTCACCCCCCGAGCCTCTGGCCGTTCTTCACCCCCCGAGCCTCTGGCTGTTCTTCACCCCCCGAGCCTCTGGCCGTTCTTCACCTCCCATACTAGCCAACTCGCCAGTGTGTCCGCAGGTGGACAAGCATGGCAAGGTTCAGCTCACTAACACGCTCGGCCTCAAGGGGTCGGGCAAGGCGCTCTACCCTAGAAAAGAAGACGTGTTCTTGCATTCCAAGCAGCGCTCGAGGGGACAAGCATCCAACCGTATTCCGCCGTACTCCGCTGTTTCCCCCCCTCCTCGCACGCACCCGTGCTCACGCGGCGCTCTGATTGCGCTGCACGCTACCGCACTCGTGCCCTGAGGATGGCGTACTCACCACGCAGGCTGCTGCTCTTATCTCCCCAGATCTCCCCAGATCTCCCGCCCTGAGGCTGGCGTACTCACCCCCCCGTAGGAGCTCTACAGCAAGCTCGAGGCGGGGTCGCTCTCGCAAGCGGACGTCGACCCGAAGTGCTCCCACACGCCCCACGGGACCGAACCCACGCTGGAGTCGAGACTCTGGAGGTATGGCACCTAGGTGCCGCCTGCCCGCGTCGCAGACGTCGTACAAGGTCTGCTCACCCACGCGCACTGGGCCTTGCACGTTGAATGCCGTGCCATCTTCTGCCCGTGACCGCGTGTGGAGATGCGAGGGCTGCCTGGCTCCTGGCCCTTGCTCCACCACTTTGCGTGTGTGGTGGAGACGTTTACCCTACCTTACCTCACCTTAGGACGAAGTGTGCCAGCTGGACAAGTCCGTCTCGCGCTTCAACGCGGACACAAAGGGACCGAGCGCTTGCCGCTCCGAGGGCAAGGTGATTCATTAATGAGTGAATTGGTCGATGAATCAATAAAGCGGCCGAGCGCCTGCCGCCCCCTTGCCCCACCACCTCATGTGTGTGGAGAAGTTACTTTGCCTTTCCTTACCTTACCTTACCTAGTTGATTACCCTCGCGTCATTCTTGTGATCCAGTAGCAGTATGAGTTACTAGTGTCGTGAAGCCTCACTCTTCATTATTACCACCAAGGTGATGATCCTCGCGTCGGTGCACGACACGTTCGAGAAGCCGCAGTCCTTACCTAAAAAAGAAATACCTCTTGAACCCCAGGTATTTCTTTTTTAGGTGCACGACACGTTCGAGAAGCCGCAGTCCTTACCTAAAAAAGAAATACGTGCTGAAGTCGAGACGTATTTCTTTTTTAGGTGCACGACACGTTCGAGAAGCCGCAGTCGGCCGACGTGCTCTGGGTCTCGTCGCCCAGATGTATTTCTTTTATTCGGCAGCACGTCGGCGGAGACGTATTTCTTTTTTAGGTCTCGTGCAAGGACCTGGCCACGGCGCACCAGCCCTAGAAGCGGAGTACGTAGTCTTGGACTTCCGATTAGCACTCGAGAGGACACGTTTCAACGGTATCCAGCTGGACTCCGCTGTATTCGTTGTATTCGTATCCGTGGCGCTCACGCGGTGCTCTGAACTCACTGCACCGCCCTGATGTGTTGGCGTGTCGACACAGCGCAGGCGCACAAGGTGAAGGCGGAGGTCAACTTCGGCAACGGCGTCAAGGTCATGCCGCCCATACTCAACATCACAAGCAGTACTCATAACTACGATGAGGAGTCATTGTTCTCGCGCGTCAAGGACATGCCGCCCTCGTGCGAGTACATGGACGCGGACTCGGTCAAGGCCGTCGACGAGGCGGGCGGCATCATAAGCTCTAGCCCTCACGCTCACACTCACACACTCACACACTCACACCCACTCTCACTCTCACCCCTCACCCCTCACCCCTCACCCTCACACGCACACTCACACTCGCCCTCACCCTCACCCTCACCCTAATCACCCTCACCCTAATCACCCTCACCCTAATCACCCTCACCCTAATCACCCTCACCCCAACCCTCACCCCAACCCTAGGCGGGCCGCATCATCTGCTGGGCCATCCGCGTGGTTGGCATCGGCCCGACTCTAAAGATGGCGCGCGGACCTCAAGCCCGAGCCCGAATCTCGGGCGATCTCGGGCGATCTCGGGCGATCTCGGGTGATCTCGGGCGATCTCGGGTCCTCCAGGCGTGGGACCTCAAGCTCAAGTTCGAGGCGCTGCCGATCCCGTTCGCCAAGGTGCTCCCCGGCAGGGCGATCTCCCCACATCTCCGCAGATCTTACCACATCGCCCCACATCTCCCCACATCTCCCCACGTCTCTCCACGTCTCCCCACATCTCCCTACACCTCCCCACATCTCCCCGCATCTCCCCACATCTCCCCACATCTCCCCAGATCTCCCCACGCCTCGCCATATCTCCCCAGATCTCCCCAGATCTCCCCAGATCTCCCCACGTCTCGCCATATCTCCGCAGATCTCCCCACATCTCCCCAGATCTCCCCAGATCTCCCCAGATCTCCCCACGTCTCGCCATATCTCCGCAGATCTCCCCACATCTCCCCAGATCTCCCCACGTCTCCCCACGTCTCGCCAAGGTGATCCCCGACAAGGCGATGTTCCTCTTCAACGGCC